AGTGCGGGCCTCGGAACCCACGTGAGAAGCTAGGAAAACATGTCCTGATTTAATCAAGTTGGTCCCACCGTCATATGTGATGCCACGTGTCGCTTACATCTACTAACCAGTAACAAATTCAGGTCGATGATGTAAATATTGGATTAAATTGTTACTAATAATCAAGTCCAAAGGCTCAACTCGAAAATAACGTGAGCCTTTGAAAGTAATTTAAACAATTAATGTTGCTCACGACCCATATATATTAACTCTTGGATGATTTTGAATATTGATCCATTTAACATCTTTTATTAGTCCATCTAAAGCATAACCTAACCTATATATATAGTGTCTCTGCACTAACTATTTTGTGTGATTTGTGTATGCAAGAGAGGGAAAATCGGCAGCTTGCGAAATGAGAAAAATCGGTGGCTTTCTTTGTGTTTGGACTTGTATCTCGTGTTTCTTCCATTGTTTTTTCTCGTACTTTTGTGGCTTACAAATCATCACCATTATCTTATCCTTTGTGGGTATTGAAAAACAACTGGGGTGAATATATTGGTTGTAGGTTGTAACTGTTTGGATTGGTTGTTTGGTAGAGAAAGTCAGAAAGGTAACGTGAAATTGAGTCTGAAAAACACCGTTTTGATTACCATTGGATCAAGCTTTTGTGACAATTGGCATATGATCTTTAAGGTAATGGATTTGGTTCCAAAAACTGACTAGGAAACCTGCTGAAACGAAGTAGAAAAACAGATCGAAAAATTGTTAGAAAGCTCCCTAAAAATCGAACCTGTTTTCGTGATTTTCGACCAATCCGGAGACCTGGTTATGAAACGAAGACCTCTGGTGTGACGTACAAGCGGAGGCGGTCCCGATGGTCAGGTACGTGTCACCGACGACAGCGCGTGAAGATAACGCGCAGAGAGTGCGAAGGATTTTTCGACGACAGTGTCTTCATGTAGTTTGTTCCTGACATTTTTCTTGCCATTTTGATTTTGTTAGTTTTCCGTTTTAGACTATACAACAAAGGCTGGACAATTGTGTTCTTCGCGTATTCGAGATTTGATTGTGGTTGATTGATTCTGAGATTGTTGGAGACTTAGGACGAATAGTAGTGGTCCTAAAGTGATAAATTTACATCTCTTGATATTTACGGACCTTCAGACGTGATCCGCTTTGTATCGTGTTCTTTCTTTTTTGTTATTGTGTAGTATAGTCATTTATTTTTCGTATTAGAAGTCATCGTGTGGGGTGACATTAGGTTTGGGTTATCATGAAGGGGTATCCTTTCCTATCGTTAGACCTAGAAATTTCTTGTTAATTATTTGCCTTGAATTCTTTGTGAATTTGTCGCCAATTATTTCTCATTATTAGAATTGCACGTGACCTTAGGAAAGTTTTTGCAGGACCATTCTATGTGAATTGTGTCTGTACTTTGTTTGTGGTCTTCGTTGGTTACATTTTGTGTTTTATGCATTTTTTGGGTAAAGATGACAACACGTTTTAAGTTGTGCATTTTTAATGAAAAATGTGATTTTTTAATTTGGCAAAACGAAAAGGTTTTTCATAAAAAATTTGATGGCAAATATAGGTCTCAGACAAGTGCGAAAAGTAAGATGTGTTTTAACTGCAGTAAATTTGGATATGGTGAAAAGGCTGTCTCATAGGAATGATAATAAAAGGAAAGTTAAGGAGAGAGACGAGGCGAATGTGGTTATAAGGTGGAGTGATGACCCTAGTGAGGTTTATCGAGAGTAAACATATTTACTGCATGTGCATCCGTGTGTAATCCTTTCAACATGTGTGATTGCTTAATTCTGTTGCAT